CACTACATACTGATATACACCTGAACATCAGCTGGAGAGGACTCTTTAAAGTAGAGACACTACATACTGATATACAACCTGAACATCAGCAGGAGAGGACTCTTTAAAGTAGAGACACTACATGCTGATAAACACCTGAACATCAGCAGGAGAGGACTCTTTAAAGTAGAGACACTACATACTGATATACACCTGAACATCAGCAGGAGAGGACTCTTTAAAGTAGAGACACTACACACTGATATATACCTGAACATCAGCAGGAGAGGACTCTTTAAAGTAGAGACACTACATACTGATATACACCTGAACATCAGCAGGAGAGGACTCTTTAAAGTAGAGACACTACATACTGATATACACCTGAACATCAGCAGGAGAGGACTCTTTAAAGTAGAGACACTACATACTGATATACACCTGAACATCAGCAGGAGAGGACTCTTTAAAGTAGAGACACTGACCATGTCTTTCTAGCCAAAGAATATTGAAAAAACACGACTAAAAACACTTCTCCTCTCACTTAAAAAACATCATTTCATATGAAGGGAATGCATTGATAATTAAAGCTAATGTCCCTATAGGATTCTGTCTTTATTGAGTGTGTATCTTACTGGTAGAAGGCGCTTGATTGAAGTAATTTTGGATGAAAGCGTCTGCTAAATAAGATGTAATGTGATATCATTGCTGTAACTGTAGTGTTTATCTCTGTGTCAGATTCCACAATAAGGAGCTATATACTGCATATGAGTCAGAACCCTGTGGCATGACTTGTGATGGTATAAAAATACTTAGAGTACAATCACAGTATTGAGAAATAACCGTCCATCCATTTAAAGTATCCCGTTAAATTTACAAGAAGGTTTAAATCCATCGAAATCCGACTATTCTCAAGTGACAAAAAGGGGTTTTGATTCACAGCGTTGTCATTTTTAGGCCGTCTTAAAGTCTGTGTGTGTGTGTGTGTGTGTGTGTGTGTGTGTGTGTGTGTGTGTGTGTGTGTGTGTGTGTGTGTGTGTGTGTGTGTGTGTGTGTGTGTGTGTGTGTGCAGCTCGAGGACTGCAGTAAACGCTGAGTCATCGTTCTTAAAAGAAGAGAATCTGCTGACAGAATTAGCTTTGCAGGGGAAGCCCCGTTACACAACAGAATGACATTTAAATGGCTTTTCTTTCTTAAATGACTCCCTGACTTTCTCTTCTACTCCTTCAAATATCTTCATATTCTGTTATGGATTCTCATAAAACTCTTTTTTTGCATTTGACTAATATTTTTACCGTCATTTTCACCATGATGTCTCCTCTCTCTGGCCTTCTTCCTGTCTTTTCTCCCCCGTTCATCTTCTCTCCATTCCTTCACTGACACCCCGTCCCCCACGTCTCTTTTTCACCATATGATACTGCTCTGTTGACGGTTCCCATAGCAACCAGACATTTCTGCTGACCCCTGCCTCGCTTTGCGTGACAGGACGTTCAGTCAGAAGGGCAAACAGAGAGAGACTGTGTGTGTGTGTGTGTGTGTGTGTGTGTGTGTGTGTGTGTGTGTGTGTGTGTGTGTGTGTGTGTGTGTGTTTGTCTGTATGCACAGACTTAAGAGGAGTCACTTCAGGCAAATACATTGTTTTTATCAGGCTAGTGTAAAGGACACCTATATTTAAACTAGGGCTGTCAGTCGATTAAAATAGTTAATCGCGATTAATCGCAAATTAATCGCACATTTTGTATCTGTTCTAAATGTACCTTAGAGGGATATTTTTCAAGTTTTTAATACTCTTATCAACATATGAGTGGACAAATATGCTTTATATGTTTGTTTATTATCATTTGAACAATGACAAATATTCTCATGAATATTAAACACAACAACCTGAACATTACAAATATTCGCCTCAATTCAACCTGGAACCTCTCTCATACAATAGTACTGTGTGTGTGTGTGTGTGTGTGTGTGTGTGTGTGTGTGTGTGTGTGTGTGTGTGTGTGTGTGTGTGTGTGTGTGTGTGTGTGTGTGTGTGTGTGTGTGGACACTGTGATGGATCGTTGGAGCTATGTGCAGCTCAAGGCATATATGCTCAAACGGGAGCTGCCTGGACGCTGCAATCATGTTGCGCGCACTATCCGTGCTGAGTGTGCTGACTGTTCGTACAATGTCCCACTGTCTGGCTACCTGCATAAAGTCAAGTGCTCGGCGCAGTTGTCGGCGAAATGTCGCTCCTCTGTTTTCATTGAAACAGCTCCTTATATCCGTTAGCGCAGCTAGCTAGCACCAGATGCTAACAACAACAACAACAACACGTAAGGTGTGCCTCGCTCACGCCACACATACACACACCCTCCCGGTCCTCCCGATGGCCAGTCCGGGCCTGCCGGTGAGCGTGGAAGTGTGGTCTGCCACAAGCGGGCGACATGCGTTAATCGCGTTAAAATAATTAGTGGCGTTAATTTTTTTTAACGCGTTATTAACGCGTTAACTTGACAGCCCTAATTTAAACATAACCAGAAAACTTGTAATATAAAAGATAATTGTGTTAACGTCAGTAAAGAAGTGGGGAAGTTTCATGGTGATATCTATCAGTTTTTACCCTGTTCACCTGCAGTGTGTACAACATGAAGGAACATAAAACTTTAAAGGCCGATTTCTCCAGAAGAGTTTTTTCCTTTATATTTACAAGCACCGAACCTGGGGAGACAGAAACTTCTCAGAAACCTCGATTTTCATTAGACTTTTTAACTTATTTTACAAGATATGTTATCTCTGTAAAGTGTCTTTGAGCACCTGATAAAGCGCTTGATAAATAAAATGTATTATTATTATTATATCTGACATTATTAAGTATTTTCCTTTTTTTCTCCAGATATAATTTTGCTTGGATTTTTTTTCCTGGAATATTACAATTTATATTTTGAAATGCTCGATTTCTCAGGAATTGTTTCCACAGAAACATTTTTATTTTCTACCTCGAAATATTATCAATTTCTTCGATAAAATATTCAAATTAACTTGACTTTCTTGTTTGAAATATTTGAATATTTTAAAACAGCTTTTTGTCAGCCGCTGCCTCCTCCTCTCTTCCCACTCACCCTCCTGTGTGTGTGTGTGTGTGTGTGTGTGTGTGTGTGTGTGTGTGTGTGTGTGTGTGTGTGTGTGTGTATATCAGCTGTACGGTTGCCCAGACGCCATTGGCTGCCGCATTCCTGTCCCTCCCACCTGTCGACCTATCAGAGGATCAGGATTGGAGCTCCCTGCACACACCTTCAGGCGAGACGTATGAAAGCCTGAGGACGGATATCAGTCAGAAAGCTCTGAATCTGTGTCTCAACTCTCTGTGATTATATATATATAATATTGATATATCTCTCAACCGTGGTAAACTCACGTGTTTAACTTTGCATAGTTGTGTATAGTTTACTTGTGTATAATCCGAATAGTATGTTAACTACTCTTCGTATAGCTGTGTTTTCTTACAGTCTATTTTTGTTAGTTATTATTCCACTTGAATAGTGAGGGTTTTTGTTTAGGTGTTTATTTTTTGTATTTAAGTATTAGCCCCTAGTTAAGAGTCCTTTGTTTTGTTTCAGGCTGCCTGTCTGCCATTTATTTTTGAGCAATTTCAATAAATAACTTTACCAAATCCAACTGGTTTTATGTTCAATCCCTTTTTCTCCAGAGCTTGGACGTAACATGGGATTATTACAACTTCTTCTCTCTAAAATGTACTCATGCACTGACCATATTAACACTCACACACATCTACAATCAACAATAGAAACGATGTATTTGTTAAACATTTTCATTTTTTATTAAAAATAACATTCATAACAGTAACAGTTGTACAACCAATAATTATAATCTGCAACAATAATTAATTACACTTGAGAACTGGAGGACTTCATATCCTCCTCTTTTGTAAATAAGTTAAGAAATAAAGTTCTTCTCCCCCCCCCCCCCCCCCCGGGAAATATATTTTTCTAAAGCAGTTCAACATACAGTGTCAGCTATAACTGGCTCACAGCGATCTCTAAAGGTCTTTATTTAAGACTTGCTTTAATGTGGATATTCATAGCATGTTATCTAGGCAGGCATTTGGTTTTTATTCCATAGAGTGGTGCAGGAATGAGTCATAAAACCCAGAACAAGTAAGAATCTTCCTGTTTCCCTGGTGTGGAAGTCAATGGTTTTTGAAGAGATTTTAACGTTTTGTCCTACAACATCAAATACGACAGTAAATACCCCACTGGTGAACTTAAAGGTCCCCTATTATACTGTTTTTCATCAATATATCACAGGTCTCAGATATATCAAGAACATGTCTCTGATTGGCTGAAACACCAAACAGATCATTGCAGCATTACCCATAATCCCCTCTGTTTCAGCCCTGTTTCCAAAGTGCTGATTCTCTGTCTGTTACTTTAGATGAAAATAAGGAGCCCCTCCCCACGCCCCTCTGAGAGAGATTTGGTTACAAAGAACTCAATGGTGCTCTAGGAGGAGATTCAGGTGATAAGGGGGGGGGGTTACCTTGGTTGCTGATTGGCTAATGGTTACACAAGCCAAAACATCGTTATGACATCATCAAGTGGCCAAAATCTGATCAGCTCATTTTCAGACAGGTTTTTATATAAATGGATCAAAAAGAGAGAGAATCTTTGTTCCTGAAACTTTCAGAGTCTCTTTCCACAGAGGGGACACATGTTGATGAAGAAGAGACATGTGTCCCCTCTGTGTAAAGAGAGTCTCTTTACACAGAGGGGACACATGTTCATGTAGAAGAGACATTAAGAAGTGGATTTTGCATAATAGGTGACCTTTAAAACAAACACGGTTGCTAACAAGTGTCTAAATGAGACGACTAAACGTCATCACGCCCAACATTAGCCACATTTAGCTTAGCGGTGGTGACGTGAAGTCATGTGACCGTGCTGTAGTTCCTTTATAGCCCAACATTAGCCACCTTTAGCTTAGCGGTGGTGACGTGAAGTCATGTGACCGTGCTGTAGTTCTTTTATAGCCCAACATTAGCCACATTTAGCTTAGCGGTGGTGACGTGAAGTAATGTGACCGTGCTGTAGTTCCTTTATAGCCCAACGTTAGCTTTTTACTTCAGAAATCATACAATTGTGTTAATGTGGAAAATTCCCTGTTGGTTTTTTGTGGCGGGAACCAGGAAGATGCTGCCTTCAGGGTTGACTACAGAAATACGTCATCCCTGCACCTCTCTATCTGGCAGTAGTACAAAATGAGCAGGTTATTAATATTTCCAGTACATGAAGCTACAGAACAGAGTATTCTCTATCGGACAGTGTTTGGCTACTCCAGTGTAAATAAAGTTAAAGGATTACAGTAATGTTTGGCGTCGAGCTGCACCTTCCCGTCTCCAGTGTAGAAATCCAGCTCTCCACGTTTCCAGTTTCAGTTCTGACTTCTCAGTCCGAGTAAAAGTCAAGTTCTCCGTCTGTGCACCAATCAGAAGTTGAGCTAGAAGTGTTTAAACAGCCAATCAATGGCTGCAGACTCCAGTCTAGCATCGACCCACGCTAATGGGATCTGTGGCTCACACAAATTAAATCCAGTGTTTAGTGTGACCTCCGTTCCAAAGAGTTCATAAGATTGCACTTTATTAAATCCATGAAGCTGGACGACTCTCTTGAAATCCGCCCGGAAACAGACAGCAGCGTTCGTCTTCAGTCTTTTCCCAGAATCCCGTGTTTCCTCTCCAGATTCCTTCGGTGCAATGATGCTCACTTTGGGTTCGCTTCACCATTTCCTGTCAGGGAAAATCAAAAGAAACATTTGTTATTTTTCCATCCATGTCATTATTAAATTCAGCCTAGAAATGTGTGACATGTGACACTCTTCTGAACTGATAAAGAGCTTTATAAGTACAGTCCATTCACCATTTAAATGTATTATTTTTAAAGCACATTTTCCCCTAATCTTCTTATTTTGTATAAATATTTTACTCTATTTCATTCAATTGTATCTTTAATGGGTTGTTCTGTCCTTTAACCAGTTAAAAATGACATTCCCAGAACAAATGACCATATCTTCCCTTCTAAAAGGGGTAAATTAATAATCTTTTTTCTCAAAGCAATGATAAACCTGTGAGTTGGATGTAGAAAAGTCAGAATCAATATAGATGTTTTTATTTTAAAGTAAATTCAGATTGAACATAGTAAAAAAATGTAAATTATAGTGTCCGTCCAAAAAGAAAACATTACTTATAGTGAAAACCACCCTTGAAGGATGGGATCGGAGACTAAAAGCTTTAGGAATCCGAAGTATAACATATAATAAGAACCCTGTATCAAGATTGATGCAAAACAAGTGACATTTGACCTTTTTAGAGAGATTTTGAAAAAAAAAACACTTCTGGGGTCATTTGGGGTGGATTTTCCATATCTCTGGAACCCATCGTTCGATTTTGATGATTGACACCTCTTTTGAACCATTAGAGCCAATAGAATCAAGGGGAAGTTCCTAAATCCATTTAAACATTACCCATTGGTGAATGAGTGATGCATAGCCAGAATGCCCAAAACTGGAAGCTGGGTTGCAGCTCTAATAACAGCTAATATGAAATCTCCGTTTTTGACAAAAATTGAATGATGGATTATCAGAAATCATTTAAAAGTGACACAGACACATTGGATTAACCTTCAGCAGCGTTGTTCTCGTTTTAATGCCATTGAACACAACTTTTGATCAGAAACAGCAAAAGGTAAGACAAATTGGCCGTGTTTGCTCCGTAAAGCTACGTTGTGTGACGTCTGGGTTTGCTTCCCCTGCCGCGAGTTTTGATCGCTCAGTGATGATACCTATATTTCTAGAATCTGTGGAATCTCAGCTTGCTAGCTGATATCTTGTTTGTGCAGATCCGATAAGTAATGAAGTATTTATACCGTGAGTTCTGTGCTAAGTGCGTTAGCATTTTTTCGCTCAGGGCTCATTTAGACGCTTCTTGTGAGACTTGTGTTTTGTTTCGGTAAAAATTGTTAACATTGTCAGGTAGCTGAGTTTCTTCCCGTTAAGTGGGTATGACAAATTCATAGGTTGTTAAATGTTAAGAAGCCTTGAGACCCAGTTCCTTAAAAAAAAGCTAGAAAAGTCAGAATCAATATAGATGTTTTTTTATTTTAAAGAAAATTCCCACATTCGCCACATGTTTTGATGTACGTTTTTGTTTATAGAGTCGCGAATGTTTATCACTGAGTGTTGAGGTGGGCACCGCCAGATTCTGTGTCTCCAGGAGATGCTAATCGAGGGGTTGGCTGTGCATCTAGGATAAGTAATAAGGGAGTTATTAGTGAGTTTAGGTGCAGTGATAGGTTAGCATTTTTTCGCTCGTGGCTAATTCAGAGGCTGAGTGCTAGCATTGTGTTTTTTTTTTGGAGAAAACAAATTAAAAAGATCAGTTAGCTGAGTTTCTTCCCGTTACATGGATATAAAACATTCATAGTTTATTAAATATTAAGATTCCTTAGACGTTGTTTCCTGCAAATGACGCGTTTATCCGCCCGGTACCGGGGGGGGCGGTGCGTAACAGGTTAATGTATTTTTTTATTGAAATATTTAATTTTAATTTTGAACAGTTTTTTTAATTTACATTTCTTTGTATAAATATTTTTTTTGTATAAATTCAATGGCACATTCTTAATTGAACTTCTGATGTTTTAAATAAATAAATAAATTTTCTTCCTTCGTTTTCTTTATTTTCCATATATGTACACGGAAATCTTTTAATGCACATCTTTGCTTTAACGTTTTAGGTGTGTGTTCATTTGTTATTGTATTTCATTCATATATTATATATTTTATTTTATCTTAATTTCACAATTATTTTTTTTACCTTACTTCTTATTGTATAAGCAAATTGTTTTGTTTTTTAATTGTAAATATAGCAACTGTCACAAAACACAACTTCCCCCAGGGATAAAGAAAGTATTCTGACCATCAAAACTACTTTCACACAAACTATTTGAACCATCACTCTCAGGTGTACGGACGTTTCCTCCAGTCATTCTGCATTTGCAGCTCTCAATTGAAAAAGAGATCTATG